TTTAAAAAAACCCATAAATCTAATTTCTCTCTTTTGGTTAAAATCCTTGCATAACTTCCTGTGATACTAAAATTCAAACTCTTTGCCATTGTCTCATAGGACTTCTGTGATCTGGCTTCTACTACCATTTTTAAAAAGATATATTGTTTAATTATTTTAGAGAGGCAAGGAGAGGGAGAGAGAGAGATAGAAACATCAATGATGAGAGAGAATCATTGACTAACTGACTCCTGCACGCCCCACACTGGGGATCGAGTCCGCAACCTGGGCATGTGCCCTAACCAGGAATCAAACCGTAACCTCCTGGTTCATAGGTCAACCACTGAGTCATGCCAGCCAGGCACTTCCACATTATTTACTCTTATTTTCTTGATAAGAAAACTAAGATTCACTGCTTAAGTCAACTAGTTGGGACTTCAATAATGATCATTTTGTTTCACAAAGAACAACTTTGTGTTCTTTCATCACAACACAGCTGAGCTAGACACTAAATCAATTCCAAATACTTTTAGGCAATCTCCAAGGAGAGCTCTGTGAAGGACAGAGCCTCCTGCTTCCAGGAACTCAACTGGACACATTCTTTCCATCTGCTCAGGAATAATGGCTAATGAGAATAAATATGGTGCCTTCAAGCCTTTTATTGTGTGTGGTGGTGGTGGTGGTTATAAACATGCTTTTTGTAAGCTGTTCTGTTTCCAGGGGTATGAAGAAGTGGAGAAAGTTAGAGAATCGGATATCCTAAGTTTCACAATTGGTTTTTTAAATAGTACTTAGTATCTTTTTAAAATTTATATTCTTAGCCTCGATGCCCATCAGATTCACCTGGGGAAGTGTTATGAATCCTAATGCCTGGACCCCACCCCCGACAAATGAAATCCGAATCCCAGGGGGAGGGATGGTGGCATCAATGCTAAAGCTTCCCAGGTGACTTTACTATCAGTCATGATGGACAACTATTTGTCTAGATCAGGGGTGGGGAACCTTTTTTCTGCCAGGGGCTATTTGGATATTTATAAGAATATTCATGGGCCATACAAAATTATCAACTAAAAAATTAGCCTGCTATCTTTGGTCAAACGTTTAATTAACTCATCCCTAATGTCTTGGAAGGGACAGGCCAAAAGATTTTGAGGGCCTTATATGGCCTGAGGGCTGGATATTCCCTACCCCAGCTCTAGATCCTCAAATGGGTGGTGATCTATCCTATAAATCGAATATCTTACACCCCACCCCAAAGAGGACTTACCAGGTTTAACTGGAGGGCAGACTCTAAAACTGCATATACTCCCAATTCACAAATTCAGCTTTCCTAGAGGGATAATGCTCTGCCCTTCATGTGTGTTGACTAGTTAGACCAGCCTGCGCCCAGAGCCAATTAAATCCCAGTGGAGTGGAACCCAGGCATGAGCCACCGCTAAACCTCTCAGGTGAGGCCCATGTGCAGCCAAGCTGAGAACCACCACTTTAATGGTGCCTGCTTTGTTTGGAAGAGGAAGTAAAGGCAAAGCTGCCCCCATTAACCCCAGTGAACGACAGTAACCTGGCAGCAGCCATCATGCGTGCTAAGCACTGGCTCTCCCCATTGAGATTTATGGCCTTGGGCAAACAACAGAACCTGAACTTGGCATGGTGCCATCATCCCCAGCACTAATTACAGCTTAAATAATTCTCGTCAGTGTGCATAAAATAAATGGACCTCAATTTAAGACAACTTCCCCACTGTGTCCTGGTTAATGGATTCACAATTTACAGGTCTTCACAATCGTAAATAGACAAGTTTTATTTTCACACAGAGGAGAAGATATTTAAACCTAGTCATCTCAACATGAATTTTTTTTTTAAACTAGATATTGGGTCATGGAAAAAATATTGCTTACATGGTCAATGATAATAGGATAACAATATGTACTCTATTCAATCACTAATCAATATGATTATCACTAGCGTCTTTCAATTTATTCATTGCTTCTTGTCATCAATTTCATTCAATCTTTGGCAAGTAGGGGAGAAAACAGGTTGCAGACATCAGTATGAAGAATGGCAGCTGAATGATAAGACTATACACCCAGAACATGCAAAGAAAGAAAGTGAGTTTATTAAATAACTTGGACAAGCAGTGAGAAGAAAAATATCCACTACTGCACTGTTTTCTTTAGCAACTGTCTCCCACCAAAAACCGCATCCTCATCCATGGACAGAAAAAGAACATGCCAGCACAGGCCATCTGCTTAAGGTTCCAGTTCTGAACCCCGGGACAAAAGTATCCTATATAATAAAAGGGTAATGTGCAAATTGACCCTAATGGCCGGGAACGACCGGTTGCTATGATGTGCACTGACCACCAGGGGGCAGACGCTCAATGCAGGGGCTGCCCCCTGGTGGTCAGTGTGCT